TAACCTATCAGAAACCGCGTGTTCCGATGTAACTGGTATCTGAAAGGTTAAAATCTTAATATTTATTCCTATTCCTAATATTTCGTCTATTGTGCGCAGGACCTTATGTATTATGCAAGAGTGTGCTCTCAGCTTTAGCTAAATGACGAGTCACGCCAAGCCGTCGATAGATGGCACTGATAGCGCGCTGCAAACTATGGTTTAGAATTTCCATCATTGCAATCTGCGTCACAGGTCATTGGCTACCCGCTACAGTTGTCTACAGTCAGTTCTCGAATGTTTCCTTTTTCGTTCGTTTTGTCGTATTAATTTCGCATATTCGTCGCGGTGTCAATTGTTCGTGGATGAGGTTCGAAGTCGTACAACGAGCAAGAAGAACCGGTTGGACGAATTATCGTGTGTTGTGCTGTAAACACGTGCGAAATCTTGGCACAAGAAAATCTTGGAGAACGACGTAAAAGATAGAGAGAAAGATACAAAAGGAAAGAGAGCGAAAGCAGAGATCCCACAAAAATGTCAGAGATTGACGCTAAAGTGAACATGTCGCTTGGTAAGTCGCCAGAGTCCCGACAATCTAACGGTTTTGCCAGTAATCCCGGATGAGCCCACGTTGCTTTCCCTCGCGTTGGGCAATGGATCGACAAAATGGCGTCGGCGCATGTTACGTACGTGATATTACAGCATGCTTACGTACGATGCGTAGAGTACCTGCATTTGTTTTTCGCTTTTACATATGGAAGACGTTTTCCTCTTACTCCTAGTGTCTCCCGGAGGATGCTGCATAAAGCGTACATTCAAGTACATCGAGGGCACGATGATGGGATATTCTTCTTCATGAGGTGCCGATTGATCGATCGATCGACATGATGGCGTCTTTGTTAAAGCATGCTCGCGAGAGAGGAAACGGTTTTGAAAAGAGACTTCTTTTTCAGAAAAAAAAGCTAAAGGGGAATCATCAGAATTTTGCTCATATTGTATGTTGCTGTTGAATAATCAGGATCGCTCTTTTAATTAGGAAGAAGAAAGAGAAATCTGAATGAAACATGTAAAAGCAGATGCGAAAACTTCTCATCCATCTTAAACGATTCTGCGATCACGATTATTGTGTAATTGTATTTGATCATCGGGAAGAAGAGAAGGTCTAACAGATAGAAAATTTTATAGAAATAGCGTGGAATGGTAGGATGATTTATACGACAAGTTTATGTGCGAAGAATTGTTTTATGATTGCTGAAAATAATAAAATTTTATACTTGTCTGGAGAAGAAAATTGATGTCCAGAATATATAGGTACATGAACATATAGGGAACGTGATCAAGACAAATTTGATGTGTTAGTATATAAAGCACTGTTTTACTTGCCTTAACTAATAGTTCTAATAGCATTCTATGATCTTGATTGCTTGCCTTGAGAAGAAACCTGTATAAGTATATCCAGAAAATTCCAACAAACGAGAGAGAAACGATCTGAGAATTTACCAGGATATTATTCAGAACATTTTTATTTGTCTCAAATAACCATATTTTGCTATTGCAACTGTTTGATTTAGGAAGAAACTGATAGCATCGACGTTCCAGAAATCGCGATTGAAATACCAGGAAATGATTGAAGACTTTGTACCAGGATACATTACATAAAACATTGTTCTATATTTGGCTCAAATAATATTCTACGATCGCAATGTATTGCTTGTTTCAAGAAAAACACAGTGTCCAGAAAATATAAATGCATCAACACTCAGAAAATGCAATTGAAATGACAGAAAAACGATCCAAGATGTTATGCCTAAAACATTTTTATTTGCCTCAAATAATATTCCCGGATATTGAGCTTGCCTCAATTGTTGAGGAAATGCAATCATATCGACGCACAAGAAATGCAATTATAATAATGGAAATCTATTCCAAGAATCTTATTCCAAGAATTGCATCATATCTGCCATAAATAATTATATCTCTCAATCGCAATTGTTTATAATCCTTTGTTTTGTGTTGCAAGCAGAAAAGAATGATGTATTATGTGACAAGAAATGGATAAAAATACCACGAAGCAAAATTGAGAATATATACCAGGAATTTCTTATGCCTGGAATTGTTCTGAAATTTTATTTACCAGCCGCTCTAAAATTTACACTTTTAATACTTCTTGATTACACGAATAAACATGAAGTTGTCTGTCATAATTGTATTATGTACATAGAACTAATTTCCATTTGAAGAATATGAACTTATGACGCATGTTGGAATA